TGTGCCATATGTGCAGCGACATTACCCTTGACCTCTTTATTTTACCGTTGAATTGCTGTTGTGCCTGACTTCCTCATTAGTGATCCTGAGATACGTGTCTTGTTATCAACCATACCACCCTTCCCCCAGGTGCTTGTTATAGCTGATGACAGATCGCTGCTCTGCATCTTCGCTCCTTTCCAGTTTAAGAACAAGCAAGGGGATCCAATGCCGTTCACAACTTGCTGCCTTGCGTGTTCGATGTAAATGACCAACCAACCTTTGAGGCTTTTATCGAGCAGAGATTTGCTGGGCCATGCTGACTGTATGTTTTACGATCTTTAACAGAAATCACGTTTGTTTCATTGACCCTGCTCATTTCCTTGTATTCATGTAGAGTACTGTTTGTTAAGACACCGCTTCTATGTCCATTCTGGGAAAGCAGCTGTATGAACAAGAAGTTTCTCAAATCATAGTACTCAATTTGGCTTAGAGATGTAGAATTCTGGCCTTTGTCTATCAAATCGCCAATGATCTTTACTTGATTACGAGCAAACTCTTGAACTTTTTCTGGGGTAATAAGACGTGCAAGATCTTCCTCGTTTCTCCCGAAATCTCTCTTTAACCTCTTTGCGAAGACTTTTACACCACTGCCCACATTTTTCAAAGAGGGTGTCTGCCGTTTTTTCACATCCTTGGGGAAGCCCAATGTCATCCTCTGTTGTGGCGAAAGTATAAAACTTGCAAGAGAATGAAGATAACTGATCGTTTTTGCCGCCTTGTGCGATGCTCTCGACTCTGGGTAAAACTTGTCACGAATTAGCTCCTTGTCAAACAAGCTTTCAACGGTTTGTGTTCCTATCATTGACAGTATTGTCTCCACTTGTCTGACCACTAGCGTAGCTGGCCCTGCATCTTTTTTCCCCCATTGGGGCTAAGGATCCATTTCTCGAAAACTTCGAATACTTGTTTACTTTGTTGATCACAAGCTTCGGTTTGATCCTCCAAAGCATTGTCGCTTTCTTCACACCACTCTAAATGTTCAAAGCCGTCTTCACCATCACTTACCGATTCTTTTTTTTTTTTTTTTAATTTTTATTGTTTTAACAAACATAATGCTGACTTACTTACATAGTACTTACTTAGTTACATAAAGCTTTAATATCTACTTAAATATAACTTGCTAAGTTAAATACTACTTACTTACATAATATTAACTTACAAGATAATGCTTACAAAACAGGAGCCAATGAGTTGGAGCCTGTTACAAAATAATGAAAAAAGAATTCTAATACAACTAATTACTAACTTACTATCTATTAACGAAGAGTAAATACGCTAAAAACGACAAAAAATAAATAAATAAATAAATAACAAACAAAACTAGCTTTAAACTAGCTTTTCTGAGTCTTTTTTTGGCGGTGGCAGGAACAAATTTCCTTTCAACAAAAAAGTTGGTAGCAAGTTTAGAAGAAAGCTTCTCAACGGGAATTCTATCCATACTCATGGATTTATTCGAAGGCGGTTGTAATTTACCTTTCATTATGTTAATCCAGTTAGGAGGAGTTGCTTTGCATAAACCGTAGTAGGTAAGAAAATTAGTTTTAAGACCAAAATAAGAGCAGAAGTCTTGGTGAGATAGAAAGGTATTGCCGTTGAAGAGATCACCAATTTTTTCAACACCCGCTACATGCCATGCTTTATAGTATACTGAATAATCGTTGATCCTAATAAAGCGGTTGTTCCATAAGATTTCATTCAGTATTTCTTCTTTTGAGGAGGGAGTGAACGAATTTATAGATTGCCAGGCCAACAAGGCTTTCTCGTAAAAGATCAATGGAATGTGTATGTTAAGATGTTTAAGTTCAAAGTTACATTTAAGGAGAAAGAGACCACCAACTCGCTCTAGCAGGGAAACAGGAATGTGAGTCCAACTCGCGGTGGGATGACAGCTGTCTAGTCTTCTGATCCAAGTTGCTTTGAGAGCATTGTTGATTATGTCAAAATCAGGCAATGTGAGACCACCTTTTTCTTTAGGGCCAATCAGGGTAGTTTGTTTTATTTTTGGTTTTTTCTTTTGCCAGACGAATTGAGTAATAGCTTTATTAACTTTTTGAATAAATGTGGGGGTGACAGTGAGGACAGCAGTGTTATAAATAAGTTTGGAGAGGGCTAATGCTTTTAAAATGACAATTCGACCATGTAAAGTTAAGTTCCTAGGGTACCACAAGTTTAGCAAGGAAGCCATCGAGGACAGTTTCTGTTCAAAGTTCCTTTTGAAAGCAGCTTCGTCATCATAAGAGAAGTGAATACCAAGTGCAAATACAGGATCTTTTGGCCATGCAATATCAAGAGGTTCTTCCGGGTTGTTTTTGTTCGCGCCTAGCCACAAGCCCTCTGTCTTGCTTCTGTTTACTTCAAGACCAGAGCATTTTTGAAAAGCGTGGAGCAGATGGAAGAGGTTTTGGGCAGATCTTATATCAGAAACAAAAACAGTGGTATCATCTGCGTATTGTGAAATTTTGAATTCCTTTCCATATATGTTGATTCCTTGAATATTTGCATTAGACCTTATTGCATTAGCAAGAATTTCAGCGCACAGCACAAATAGGGAGCCGGAAAGAGGGCACCCTTGGCGAACACCTCTTTGTAGTTTAAAGAAGACAGAGGCGTAACCATTATTTACTACACAGCTAGAACAGTCAGTGTAAAAGGTTCGGATCCACTGTAGTAACTGAGGGCCGAAATTTAATGCCTCCAAGGTCTTAAAAAGGAAGTTCCAGTCGACGGTGTCAAAAGCTTTTTTAAAGTCCACAAAAATCGCCATGCCGGGAATGTTTTCTAGCTCAGTTATCTTCATGATATCGTTAATGAGTCTAATGTTCTGTCCTATATAGCGGCCCTTGACATAGCCAGTTTGGTCGTCGTTTATTAATTTGGGGAGGACTTTAGCGATTCTATGGGCTATAGATTTGGTTGCTATTTTATAATCGACGTTAAGTAACGTTAGCGGTCTCCAATGTTCCAAATACAACCTGTTCTTGCGTTTTTTCGGTATGACCTTTATTATACCTTGTCTTTGTGTTATGTTGAGTTGTTCTACTTTATGAGCATAGTTAAAGCTTTGGACCATCTCATCACCAAGTAGATGCCAGAAGTGCAAATAGAACTCAACTGAGAGACCGTCACTGCCCGGACATTTGTTTTTAGCACACTGTTTAAGAATGTTGAAACACTCGGTTTTCGACAAAGGCTGTTCAAGTTCATTTAGCTCGTTTTCGTCGAGTTTGACAAGGTTAGGGTCTCCCAGGAAAGCATCGCGTGCAATAATATCACAGGGAGCGTTCGTATATAAATTTTCATAAAATGCTCTCTGCATTTCCAAAATCTCTTTTTCGCAAAAAGTTTCCGAGCCAGTACTTGTTTTAAGCCTAGTTATATGAGTTTTTGCAAACCTGCTTTTCTCAAGATTTAAGAAGTATTTAGTATTCTTTTCTCCTTTTTCGTGCCAGTGTACCCTACTTCTAATCATTGCACCCTCGGTTTTATATTCAGCAATCTGATTGAGTTGAGCTCTTAATTGGTAGAGTTTAGTGATATTTTCTTTCGATCTGTTGGATTGCACCAAGGCCATTAGGTGATCAATTTCTTTCTGAAGGTCTCGTTCCTTATTTCTTTTTATTCTGTTTTTCCTTTTTGAGTATTGTACACAGAAACCTCTAATCTCCATCTTGAGCATGTCCCAGTACAGGCCTTCATTAGTAAGGTAACAGTGTTTGCTTTTGTATTCGGGTATTTTGCTTACGAGCTCGTCAATGAAATTTGCATCTTTCAGCAAAGTGTTATTAATTTTCCAAAACCCAGGTCCACGTTTAGCGTATCCTTCGATTGAAGAGTGAAAGTGATAGCGCTATGATCAGATATTGTGGGGTTGGTGATGTTAGTATCAATGACAGACATCAACAATTCTTTTGACACAAGCCAATAATCTAAGCGGCATTGCACTTTCAAGGAATTGTTACACCATGTAAATTGTGTTTTGTTGGTATGTTGATTTCTCCAAATGTCATGAAGTTTAAAATGGCGGGTTAAGCCTTCAATCTCGTCAATGACTTTTTGTTTTTTCTGAACAGTAGCACCACCCATTTTATCTGTAGGTGTTAATGGGCAATTCATGTCACCTCCCAAGATGATTTGTGCATCTGCAAATGGTAGGAGAATGTTATCAAGATTGTGAAAGAAAGCTATCTGGGCGGTAGAGTCATTTGGTGCGTAAATGTTGCTAAACAAGAAGGAAGATTCTAGCACGTTGGCTTTTAATAGCAAGTATCGTCCATTCTTATCAGCGAAGATGCTTTCTGTTTCGAAATCCAGACTCGGTTTAAATAATATCATCACACCTTTTGAATGTGTTGTTCCATGACTGTAATAAATTTTCCCTCCCCATTCTGCTTTCCATATTTCTTCGACACTTTTGGAAGGGTAAGTTTCTTGTAAATAAACAACGTCGAATTTTTTATTGTGGAGCCATCTAAACACCGGCCGTCTCTTTCTAGCTTGATTTAAACCTCTTACGTTTAAAGAACAAAAGGAGAGTCTAAACAGGGCAGCCGTGAATTAGCAGCATAGAATATTTTATCGGTTTCATTTAGGAAGATATTAAAAAACTTTTCGAATGTGAGCAATTTTGATTTGAAGGTGTACTTAATGTAAATCAAATAATATACATTAGTAATCAGCCTTATCGCAAGCTGAAGGAGTACAAGACTAAGCTGTAGGGAGATAAATCTAAGTATATCAAAATAGATTCTAAACATGTAAATAGAAACGGCTATACAGAAACGCTAAGACACAAAACGCACAGTTACTAGAGCACAAATTGCTCAAAGTAGGGAAACCTCTTCTTACACCTAAACGGGTTCCCTATGAACAGTTTAATGCTAAATATGTAGGCTCTACGAGTGAAGCAACTCTTGAGAGCGCGAAAGGAATCAATTATTTCAATTATTTACAGCAACTGACTAATCATGTACCATAACTTTACCGTACAGAGGAAGATCTTTAGTTTCTTTTCCACGATAAATAATAAGTTTGTCGACATTAAAGAAAGCTTTTTTCTTCTGGGCTTTAGCAGCTTTCAAGATTGGGTAAAGTTTCTTGTGCATATCGGCGATTTCTTTTGGGAAGTCACTGGCAACACTGATCTTTGAGCCTTTTGGTAAGCTTCTAGCGTATGAAAAAATTTGCTCCTTCTCTTGATAGAAGCTGGCTTTGGCGATTATTGGGCGCGGACCCTTAGATTTGTTGGTTTGATTAACAGCTCGGGTGTTAGAAATTCGATGAACTCTTTCGAAGCTCATATTGTTTACGTCTTCTTCAGGTATTTGAAGCTGTTGTATCAGGACGTTTCTCAACACTTGCTCGGTTTCTGCTGGAGTTTCTTGTGAAGAATCTCTGACACCGTAAATTCTGAAGTTGCTTCTTCTTGACTGAGCTTTAAGACGTATGTTGCGACATACTAATTTGTCGACTTCAGCCTTCAACTGATCATTTTCTTTGCGAAGCGACGCAGTCACCTTTTCAGTTGCCGCGGCAGCATTTTTAATTTCTTGAATTTCCTTAGTTGCAGAAGTCAAACTTTCCATTAGTTGCTTGTTTTCCTCTGTGAGTTTAGCAATTACTGATTTTAGGTCATCAACAGCTGGTTTGAGAAGAAGTAAGCGTTCTTACTTATTCCTGATATCGTCGAGGGCTTTCAGCGTGGCGTCACCCTCGTGGTCGGGAGGCTCCTCGAGGTCGTCGTCAGTTTGAGAACCTTTTTCCCATATTCTTTTTGCCCTTCTTCTAGAGGAAACGCCATTCTTCCCAAGCGAGTCAGTTTTGGCTGCCATTCGGTAAAAATTAAGTGTGCTCCATGGTTATAAGCGGAGTTTACATCGAAAACAACGGAGAGATAAAAGAAACGACCATCTTTGACAGCGCCTAATTAGCATTCCCCCACTTGCCGATTCTACAACAATCACTTTGTCTGCAGGTTTATCATTTTAATTTTCCTAGTTTTTAAAGTGGCTTTGTCACGGCCAGGAAAGCGTTCTTATTCACCATTGAAAGTAACGTTAGCATAGATAACACTACAAAAAACAAAAATGAACTTTGAAAAACTGTTCGGTTAACAAGTTTTCAAATTTCCTTCACTCTAGCTCACTCTCTTTCAACCTTTCAAAGCAATCGGTGTTGTCAATCAAGCTCAGTTGCGTGCCAAACATTATTACGCATGTTAGCATGTCTTGAGTGAACTAGAAACCAGATCACAGAATTTTAAAAACTCCATCATGCGAACCCGACCCAATTTCGAGCACTTTAGCCTGATCACTTATAATTGTATGAACCTGATCTAAATGGTCCTTACCCATTACCCGTTTAGAATTTCTAAAAGGATCTTTATTTTTTTAGTTACGAAATCAACAGTCTGATTTCACTCTTTCAACTGTGTGCTTTAAAATTTCAAAGCAAATGGCCGTTGTCAACAAATCTCAGTTGCATGGCAAAAATTCTCATGCATGTTAGTGTGCGCCAAGAATTTTAAAAACGCCATTAAGCGAACCCGAACAAATTGCGAGCTCTTAGCCTGAACAGTCCTATAATCAGTATAAACCTGATCTAAATGATCCTTACCCAAAACCTGTTAGAATTTCTAAATGGATTTGCATCATTATTCGTTTTCGTGAGCAAAATTCAGGCAATTTTTTGCGTGATCACACGTTAGAATGTTTTTGCAAATAGAGAGGGCAAATTGCTTCCGGAATACTTTGTGGCTATTAAGGGTGGGTTGTATGATAAGTGATATCACCGGCTTTGCACAGTCCACGGTGATATAGCCTGTTCGCACGCCTCCCCACTACCTGAACGCCTGGAACAGGCTAGTGGCGATAAGGCTTGCTGCAAAGTATCTCAAACCTTAAACAACAAAACTCATGAACAAGAAAAATGCGCCTACGGCCTCATGCAATTTATGTCCCACCAAAATCAGGTGGCATTTGGACAAGGATAATCACAGACTGATATTCCTTCATAAGAGTCTGACGGACTTTTGAAGAAGAATAACAAAGCTATGGGCTATTCAAATAATATTACGATATATGTAACCGACTCTTTGAAAACAAACGTAATGAAATTTGCAGTCATTTGAGTTGATAAAGGATCAAATGACATGGTTTATTTTTTCACACCCATAAGGAAGGAAAAGGAAAGGAGAGTGGG